GGGAACGGTTATTATAATTCTCAATCATTGCGACTCAGATTGACGACCGTGCGATGTAGGACGACCAAACGTTTTACGGTACAGCTGTTCAAGGTCCACGTGCTGTGCTATGCCGGAACTTTGCTGTGCTGTGCTGTGCTTCCCTACCGGTCACACAATGGCAGGATAAGCGCCTGAATCGCGCCCGGGACTTTGCTGTGCTGTGCATCCCTACTGGGCACGAACTGTCCTAGTGTGCCCAACGGACCGCTTTATCGCACGCGGCTTTCAATAATTGCATCATTTCGACATCACGTGGATGACCTACTGCTGCCGCGATCGCTTTCCGAATCGAACAACCCTTTGCCACACGTGATGGGCTGACAGGTGGCCAAAAAGCGGAGTAAAGTGAACACATGGCGATCGCTGCCGCCCAGGCCGGTTACATGTGATCAACGGCCCACTTGCAGGTGTATTCAAGTGATCGACGGTTCACCGGCGGTGCAGCAGCTTGTGACAACAAGAGCACTCCGTGTGCCATAGCTTTTGAAATGGAGCCCACAGTGCTCACATCTTACCAAACGGAGTGGAAGAGATCCGAGTTCGTCTGGAAGGGGAGGCAGGAAGCACTGTGAGGCCAGCAAGAAAGTGAGAGTCAACATGCGAGGAGAGCCGTGTGCTTACAAGGGGGGCAGGATCGTTGCACAAGGGCATGCCAGTGTGTGGTACCATGGTGTGGCCAAGGACAATATTCGTGCTGCAAACCTCTTTGCAAATGCCTGCAGCGAGGGGGCCGCCAGTGCGCAGTACAAGTCAGGATTGTACTTTGCCAACAAGAACGAGGCACTCGCTGCAAAGCTTTTCTCAAAGGCAGCCGAGCAGGGGTATGCTGATGCGCAATACAACCTGGGAGTGTGCTATTCCCACGGCAGAGGGGTGGTCAGAAATAGGGTGCTCGCTGCAGAGCTCTACTCAAAGGCCGCCGACCAGGGGCATGCCTCTGCACAGTTCAACCTGGGAGTTTGCCATCAGTTTGGCAGAGGTGTGGACAAGAACGAGGCACTTGCTGCGCACTTGTTCAAGAACGCTGTGGACTAGGGGCACCCCTATGCTCAGTGCAACCTGGGGTCTTGCTACATGTTTGGCATAGGCGGAGAGAAGGACGAGGCGCTCGCTGCCAGGCTCTACAGGCTGGCTGCAGACCAGGGGAACGCTGGTTCGCTGTACAATCTGGGAAAATGCTACATGATTGGGAGGGGAGTGGACAGGAACGAGGCATCTGCTGCGCGGCTCTATAGCATGGCTGCTGACCAGGGGAATGCCAAAGCACAGTACTCTTTGGGAATGTGCTATTTGTATGGCGCTGGGGTGGCCAAAGATGAGGCGAGGGCCATGGAGCTCTTTGAAGAGGCTTCAAACCAGGGCTATGCCGCAGCGCAATGCATAATGGGAGATTGGTATCAGATGCGCGCCAAAAAGCTGTACCTGATTGCGGCCAAACAGGGGGACGCTCTTGCGCAGTACAAGTTGGAAGTGTGTGGCGATATTGACTGGGGCTGCAGCAGGTTCTGAAGAGTAGAAGTTGTGCTGTAGGGTGACGCAAGGGTAGGCCCTTGCACAGGAGGACAATCTCTAAAGTGTTTGACAGTCGTGTTGTACTCTTCTTATCACAGTCAAAAAGTGCAATGGAGCGATGACTGAATAGGAGTGTCTTTGATGTACCTGGATTATGTCAAAAGCTGTTGATGATGTCTGTCTACACTTTCACACAAAAGCGCCCAATCAGTTGCTGCTGCTTGGGGGGCTGTGGAGGGGCAATCATGCTTGCGTGCAAGGTACACACCCTCTGCAAGCGGGCGAGTGATGCCATGCACCCGTTGTTCGCATGCATGCCGGTACGAATCGTATGAGGTATGTTATTACAGTTTTCGTCACACGTGTTAGGCAAATTGCTTTGCAAACATCGTGTCTGCTAAATGCGTAGTATTTGAGGCTATCAATGTAATCGGATTGCTTGTTCACACTTGGCTGTCTTGTAAAAGGATTATTGATACATTCGAGAATACAAAGCGTAATCAACTACCTCGGATACACTGGTCAAGCTACAACCGAATGCCACGTTGGCGGACTTGGGACAGTGGAGCCCTTTGGCGATGAACTATCTTGGACCGCCATCCGCAATTATGCAGCAGACGCTTTCTCTGGCGAGGCGAGATGCGCGCGAGTACCCCAATGAAGTAAACGGCAGCATCATTCGCAGGAGCTTTAAATTCTGCAAGTGATCATCAGGCGGTTTCTTTTGTTTTTCCTGTGATTATTCAAATCAGTTGATATGTGTTCAATCTTTTGCAGGAAACGGATGTGAGTTCATCGGAGGAAAGTGAGGAAGAAGAGGAGTACGAAGCATAATCCCGAAAAGTGAAATAGCTGTTCTGTTCCTTGCCGATCTGTTGAAGTCTATTGTGTTCCCTGGAACGGATTGCCTGTGTTTTGTTTTCTCCGGTAAGCTTACAGTCAGTTATGCCTTTTGTTATACGGACACGTGCACAAAGGCAAGATTTAGATGAACTTTTGAAGCCACGTCTTCTGGCAGCATTTAGACGAATGCAAACGGATGAAGCGGCTGGCATGGTCCTGGTAAGTTGGGATGAGCCCGGCTCACCAACTGTGTCCATTGTTTACGATAATGTCGCGATGGGGCTCAGGTTTGCATGCAGCATCGACAATGTCCCTGTGCCTGGCTACTACTATGGCAACGCCTTCATTACGTTGGTGAGACGTGGCTCGGCATGTACGAGCACGATTATCAACCAGAAAACATTGCAAACGACATCCTTGAAATTTCATCAAATTGCGGGCTAGCTCCCAAGGTCATGTGGTATACAGGAGAAACATATGACCAATATATGGGACGGATTGCAGCTGGGGGAGCCCGTCCGGGACGTGTTATATTCGATCCAGAGAATCCAGGCTCTGTGAATGCCCGGAACGCCCCTCGGAATCATGTAAACGACCCTCTGGGCAACGCAGGGGTTCTTGCAAATGATACTGCTTTTATCAACTCAAATTGGACCCAGGTCAACAGGTCCGCAAACATCAATGTCGCAAAGTATCGGTACCTGCAGAGTGAATTGCGGCGTAACGGGACGGTCCCTAGGGTCTACCACGAGAATGCCATAAAAACTGTCCGCAACGGACGGACCGGCAGGAGGCATCCCTTTACGCGGCAGCCGTGGACTGCCAACTTGGACGCAAGCGTGCGGCGGCTGCGATAGATTCGCATGCAACTGTGATTGGAGTGTGTGAATAATAGCATTCCATTCCATCCTCACATGCATTCAAGAGTCTTTGGCAATGTTGGGGCATCTGCAGCGGGCAACGGCTCTCGAAAGGTCAAAACGTACATCACACAGCTCCTTCTGCGAGCTTCAGACCACAGAAGGCCCGGCATCTCTTGCACTCAGAGCTCGGCTGTGTCTCTCTTCCGCTTTGTCTTCCTTTGTATTGCACCATTGGATTGGCCTTGTCCCTCCCAACTGTAGCCATCATAAAACATGTGCTCAACGGTCACTTCGCGCACAGGCACGTGCATGAGGTGGTACTTGAGGCGCTCGACATATACATTCATGCGGGCTTCCATATGGCCTGGTTCCGGATGACGGGCACCCCAAGCTTGTTGTACTTGAAACAGCTTGGGTGTTTTTCGCCATCTGCGGACGTGAAGCCGTCCGGATTGAACCGCAGCTGCACCTGAGGGCGATTGCCGGCATCCTGAAACAGCTCCATAAGCCTTTTGTTGTCGCACGAATAGTTGCTTGCAGAGTGTTGATCCTCGTCGCATTCCGAGTGCACGGTGTGGGTGTACACATCGACAAAGATGTCAGGCCTCCGCGCCGAGCACCCGCCCTGAAGCCTCTTGTCGAAGGTGACTTCTGCAGTGTCTGGGAGAACGCTAGCCGCCTTGATGTAGTCGACAAAGTGCTTCTCCTTGACCTTATAGTTCCTGGCAACCTTCTCGTCGGGAAACAGGTACACGAAACAACGCAGGCAGTAGCCCTTGTAGCGTTGTAGCGTGCTCTGAACGATAGTACCACAACCGTTAAGGCACATTCGGTTCACCAAGTTCACCATACCATCCGTCTTGCAGGCCGCGCAGTGGGTGGCCTGTCCACCCTCAAGTCCGAAGGACGGTTGTGCAGACTTGCAGTGGCACTTTGGATGATTCACATCCACCATGCCGTTCGTCTTGCAGGCCGCACAGTGGGTGGCCTGTCCGCCCTCGAGTCCGAAAGAAGGTTGCGCCTTCTTGCAGTGGCACTTTTGGCTCACCACGTCGACCATGTCGTCCGTCTTGCAGGCGATGCAGTGGGTGGCCTGTCCGCCCTCGAGTCCGAAAGAAGGTCGCGCCTTCTTGCAGTGGCACTTTCGGCTCACCACGTCTACCATGCCGTCCGCTCCCGAGAATGCAAGTGAACCGCGCTTCTTACCAAGCTGGGGATCCTCTCCCGAAGCGACTGCTGTGTGTGCAAGGACGCGCTCGACCAGAGCTCCCTCCATGATGCCAGCAGAGTTGCCAATCTCAACCGGAGCAGTCGCCCTAAGTGTTGACACAGGGGATGCCGCTTCCCTGGGAGCAGCCTCCATGTTGGCCAAATAGTTGCTACTCGTGGCCTGATCTGTTGCCCTAAGTGTCGATACGTAGGTGCCGTCGACTCTAACACGTCGTCATTATACGGGGGATGCTCAGCGCGCATGGCGCGCAAACACGGAGGATTCAGAGCTGCCCCCTAGGAGGGAATCAGGGTGTCTGAGATTCTGAAAGACTTTTGAAAGTTACGCTCCATCTGCGTATGCGCGCAAGCTTGCCGTTCACTGTAAACGTTCCAATCATGCAGGGCATGCACTGCGCACATGGGGCACAAACACGGAGGATTCAGAGCTCTCCCCTAGGAGGGAATCAGGGCGTCTCAATTTCTCAAATACTTTTGAAACTTCTGCTCCATCTGCACACGTGCGTGCGAGCCATCCATCCTAACATTCTTCAAATCATGCCGGGGTTTACTTGGAATTATAATAAAACGCCTGTGTCACCGTCTTATCTTCACATGCATGGTTGTACACCTGGGGCAAAACGCTACTCGGCTTGAGGCTTCAAAGAGACTCCCGCAAAGCCCCTGCAGCGCTTCGATTCAAACGTCATCTCTATCCCCTCGAATCCTATCGCATGCATGATCATACCAATACGCCTCTGGCCGAGCAGACGCCTGGGGATTTCACCGTACGTGGCAAATAGGTGCGCACGGAATTCCTTTGATGTTACCTTCTTCGACACCCCCACAACACACTGCTCTTCGACAAATCGCCTGATCAGCTTCTCCACCTCGTTGTCGCGTGGAGAGGCTTTGGCATTTGGTGGGGCAGCACCTTGAACTTGCTGCTCGATGCCAAGGTTCTCGCCTCCATCCGCGACTGCCTGTGCTTCTCCTCCTGCCAGCACGATCGTTGTCGTTGCAGAGTCCTCTTCTGGTAGCTCTTCTGTACGTTCGGCGGTTGTGGACACCCAGCAGTCAGACAGAGCCATGTCTTGCAGTCGAGGAGCAGGCCTCACAGTGCTGGAGGTGGCCGACAATGTCCCCGCTTGCTCACAATCGGGAGAATTGGAACCACGACTTTGCTCCCACCCGTCCAGCGGGTCAGCTGTTGGACTGCGAACTGCAGGAGGACTGCGAACTGCAGGAGGTTCAGCTGCAGCTCGCCCTGCTTGCGTCAGAGCTGCCAGCCTGAGCTCTTCCATCCTCAGAGCGTGATCCAATTCAGCCATGCGCACCTTAGCATCTATCTCGGCTTGTCGGGTCTTCTCCTTTGCCAGTAGAACCTCCTTACACTTCTCATCGTTGCTCGTGCCACCCACATAGAGGTGTTGGATCGTGTGTTGGCTCTTGTGGGCAGCCCTCTCTGCAATTGCCAGGACTGTGTCCCTGTCCACACGTTCTGGCAAGTGTATGATCTCTCGATGCACAGTGCCTCCGATCTCCACCTCTTGATGAAGTTCTTTGATCAGGGGGTCCTCCTTGAAGGAATCCTCGGCATCCTTTGGCCGATCCGCCTTCCATGCTCACTCCAGCCATTCCGCTTTTGGAGGTTGGTACTGCAACCGTACTTGTACAGCTTCCCACTCTCACTGATACACGCAAGATATAGGCACCCTTGCTTGTCCAGAAGCATCTCCAATGCCTTCTCACGGGTCTCGATCGTCTTAAATGACTGTAGAGCCTCAACGTATGCATTCCTGATCGCTCGAAAGTACCGACGGACGCTGTCACCGACGGCCGTCTCTGTCCTCATGGCCAGGTCTTCGAAGCAATCCGTCGTGAGGAAGTATCTGTGGGCGACGGCACCACCTGTAGCATTGTCCTCAAATCTGATGAAACTCTCATTCTCTTTGTACTTATCCAGCCGGCGTAAGGCATTGGCCTTGGTGCTGTATTCCAACCACTGCCAGGCCTCGTCAAAGGGGACCGGATACTTGTTTCCGTGATCGTGGAACATTCCAACGAATATAGAACCCAGTCGGTCCGTCATGCTCCTCTCGAATCCTTTTGAGATTGTCTCTAGAGTTGACGGGGTGATGATTTGCTGACTCGCCATCGTTACGGAGAGTCCTGGAATAATCTCGACCGTTTCAAACGCACTGGTCGCTAACCCTCACCAACATCGGCTCTGTTGGGCAATATCTGGAGGCCGTTGCCTCAAACTGTTTATTACAGTTTTCGTTGAAAGTGTCGCAGGTTGCGTGTAACGCTCGATTTTGATCAGGTGCGTTTGCTGCGTTTAAATGACCCAACTTTTTCCTAGGGAGATGGTATGCTAACAGCCAATGTTGCATCACTGGGCTTCAATGACCTTGGACCCTTGCTCTCAGCGTGCCCCGTCACACACGGTATAGAGACCTTCATCCAAAGGCACCATCTCAGTCCCTCCGATGGGACCTCAGTGATTCAGGTCGCGAGGTGTTCCGCAGGTGTACTCGTTATGGGTCGAAGGTCTATGGCATAGCTGAGGAATCACAGCAAGTGTTGTCCTAAATTCAACAGTTTTTTCTGGTACCAGGCCTGCCTGGCGGCCAGAGGAAAGCCAGTTAACTCTGGTATTATTGCCATTTTCTGCTCTCTTTGTTTCCCCCGTTACGTTACAGGGGCGACAGT